CGGCCCGCGCGAGACATTGTCAGCGCGGTTTCGGAGAATGTTTGGAACGAAACTAATAATAGGTGATTATGCGGTTGTTATTTTGTATACGACCGAAAACGTCTCTGGCACGATTGGGCGGCGGATGCCCATTACCGAACAATATTAGAAACAACGGAAAGAAGGGAAAAGCCATACCGTTGCCCACAGTTCAGCTTGCCCCGTAGCGTCAAAGGCAAGCATGGACAACCCATCAACCAAAGTGACGACTAAAGGGTCTTCTAGAGAGGCAATGTTGTGCTTTGGTCTTCTCGTTTGCTCGAATCTTGCTTAGAAGAGACATTCATGTTTTCCAGTGACGCTGTGACAGTAATGATGGTATCGCAAAAGGTTCAAAATGGAGACTAACCTAACTCTTTTTTGTATTGGCTATTCAGCGCGATAACACTGTCGCTTCCACGCCTAGAAAAGCTCGAGGCTTCAAAATATTCCCGAATTCCTGAAAATGCAACAACTTACGCCGGTATCGCCAGTGCATCTACCTCATCTGTATATTCAACTCTGATAAGCGCACTGAATTGACAAGACTAAGGTAAAAGTGTTTCGGAGTGAATTAGAAGCACAACGGGCGGTGCATGCGTGGAAAATGCGAGATGCAATCGCTGTTCCAAATTCTAAAGGCTTAACAGGTCTGCAATTCATGTGTAGTACAAGTTCGCATCTTTTCGATTCAACGTGTACTTTTCGTAGTCTCCCGCTCCATGAATGATACTAGAGTGTGCCCTCCTGGTAATTGAATTTCTTGTTAGTACAAGGAGGACAATGGTGATTGTTGTCACAACGGCTTCTGCCTGCAGCACCAGCAACCTGCTGCTCAGGCTGAGTGTATGGACTCCCCTTGAATGCTGCATCGAATTTCTGCGCACACCTCGCAGCAGTCCGTCGGCGATAGGAGACGCTCCGGTGCGTTCCTTGCTTCCTATTGGTGGGATGCCATCCGGGCCAACTTGGAGGTCTCATAGGGCGAAAGTCTCCCAAGAACTTGATTGGCGGTACGACATGCAGCTTGATTAGTGAACACGTCTCCAATGGGATAGTCAGTCAGCATGCCTGCCGTCTTGCGTCTGAGACTCTTAGTGTCCGTACGTAATGAGGAGCGAGGTGAGAAGGCTGGCTCCCTGCATGCACAATGTACGTTGCGCATGTGAGCACCTTTTGCGGAATACCGCCAAAGCGGTTGCGAACAGGTACGAATTCGGGATAGACCTACGCCATACTGGTCTTCCAGTACCATTTCATCATGATAGTAGTATGCAATGCGGTAGTTGGTGATACTTTGAGCGGTACCATGACTTGAATACATAGATGTTCCGGGATCTGAAGGCGGGTCACATATCAATTATCAGATATCATTTATGGCAGAAACCGACCTCTGCTGATTTTTCTGCAGAGGCTGGGGAGAAAGACCCGTGCGGCCGACGCGGTTGTGGGCAAAGGGGGTGTCCCCAGCTTGCTTCTTTTTACACGGCCCGATGAATCTTGGCACGTACCAAGCTCCGACAAAAGTCGCAGGATGAGCGAACGAAACTCCGTACTCGACCATCAATCTGTTCGCTCTAACGGCACTTGTTGGCAGCTACAAACGTCTTAGTTCAGCTTGGATTGTCCATCTTGGCAGAAGTTCCATTAAGAAACAATTAGATGAGATGATAGATCATTATCTGCACAGTACTTTGGGTCTGCCGATAGGATCCATATCATTCCCTCCTTCGCACGAGGCTATCGCCAATGATTGTTCGGCGGGGTCTGCCGGCTCGTTGCTGCTGGGAGGCCGCGATAATTCTCAGATCCCAAACTGCATCTACCATGAGTCAATGGCCCCATCCGCTTCGAGCTTGGTCCCTTGTTGGTACTATCGGCAATACTCTCAAGTCCGAGAGGGATGCGGCCATTCCCAAGCAAGGAAGGTTATGACAGAATGTTCATCCCCAAGTATGTCCTCTTCACTAGCCGCAGTAAACTGCAGGTTAGGACAAGGCGACATGGTGCCCACCTATTGTTCTATGCCCACGTTACGTGCCTGGTCGCTATCTTACTTCGGGAAGCTCAAGGGCTTCCACTTCTGCCCACACCTGTCAAGTAATTCAAGAGACTGTCGATATTCTGCCCAAGAGCTTTTCTATCATTTTCTTTTACCAGATCACGCACTGGCATCGGAGGAAACCCACATCAAAGTGATCTCAGATGTCATCTACAGAGAAAAGAGGAAACGACGCTAGGCTGGTTTCTCAGAACCAAGTTCAGGGACTGTTTTGGGTACAAACGTGCTGCTTACCGCCAAAGACCCGGGGATGTTTGCGACGCCAGTGCCATTCAGTCGGGTGCGGGAGTGGGCCGAGTGCTTTCCGCTGCTGTCTCGAAATGCCTCGCCAGCGTCACTCGACATAACGGCCGGCACGGGGCGTTGTGGCACGGCGCGGCCCTGGTCAGCCGCCCATGGCATGTTTGCTTTTACCGTTTTACTGCCCTTATCATGGGTGCGGAAGCGCACCTCGCTCGTCACTATGCAGCGTCCTGCTGCGACCCTGTCACTTCCGACCAGGCCCACCAACCACCGCGTGCCGACAGTAAAAGACACAGACAATAGGTCTCATTTGACGACTAGCTAACATGCTGAACTCCAGACAATCACGGCCATCAGACCCTACAGGAGTCGCTATGATAGTTCACTGACAGAACCTGTACAATCAGATTTCTCATGACTACACCGCAACTTCGGTGGCGCAGATCGCTTTCTGGATGAGTTCGCACACCCATGGCATTACACGCCAATCTTTATTCGCGCCAAACAACCAAAGTATCGCTGATCTATGAGTCAAGAAAGACCTTTTAGCCTGTTCAAAGTGCATGAACACCCAGCCCTCGAAAACCTTCTGTCTTCTGCCCGCCCTGCACATCTTCGTTTCAGACTTCGCCTTAATGCGCCTCCGAATACTTGCAGCATGTACGCTTCAGGCCGGTGGGATCTCAGAAACAAGCGCTTTAGTAGAATCTTACAGCGGGCGGCGGAGAAGAGCCTTGAAACACCAAGAACAATCTAAGTATTGCCTGCCGGCGGTTGCACCCCGGGGTTACCGGGGCCGCTCGGACATGAATCGCATGCCGGACCCCCTTGTTCCGGCGCATGTGTCCGGCTCCGACACCGGAACTTAGCTCCGGATAGAACCCCGCTCACTTGTCCTCCTCGAATGGAAAATGGCTCGGTTTGCTCGGGTTCGCGTAAGGTTTTCTTTTCTTCTCTTGAGCTGTTTTTACTCACCTCTGCATGAGGTCTTGGCAGGCTGGCAGCACCCCGAATCCTGGGCCAAGGCCTTGGGCCCTAGCGGCGCCAGCTCCATGGCTCGAGGTGAGTCTGTTCGATGCGGCGCTGTCAACGGCCGTAAATACCAGCATCTCTTGCGCCATTAACCAGCCAAATTGTGCCGCGGGTCGTAGTTCCTTGTCCCGGTACAGCCTGCTGCGCTTATGGCCATGCATATTTCCGCGTACGCCCGGTGAAGCCAAAGGCCGTCTTGTCACCGAAAGTCTAGACCTGAAATCCCGGATAGCCTGAAGTCACCGAGAGGGGCAGAAAACCTCTTGGCAGTGACCACATGAGCATGTCCTGCGATGCGCGGAACACGGACGGGTGATCCGTTGTCCTGCCGTGCTCTTCGTGCAACTCTGGACTGTGGAGGATTGACCGGTCCACGTAGGGTACGAAATGTGAAGGTCTTGTCCAAGTATACGGCAGAACACCAGTGTCTTAAAATGCCCCTGTCGCTATTTGAGTCCTCGTTCGGTCAAGATTGATCTACTGAGGAGGTGGGGTAATTGTTATCTCCGCGGGCATGATTATAATGGCGCAGAAACTACCGGTGAAGGAACAAGCGATCGGTATCCAGTAGCAGGTGGCTCTCATCTTTGGTACCCAAGTCCCAAGGCAAGGAGTCTCGGAAACTTGCTCTGGACGAGTAAGCTTTCTTTTGAAAATCCAGGGCTGTATGTATGTCTGAGAAACGTGCTAGTGCTACCCAACCGAGTTGAGCGTCTTGGCTCGTCCCGTCCCGCAGGCTTCACATCGGAGTTTGAGCTTCTCACGTCATTTTTCGATCCTTGGAGCTCTACTTTGAAGCTAAAAGGGGCTGTACATCGCATATATGTAAGAGGGATCGGAAGCTAGGGGGAAACGACCAATTGACGATGCGAGACGCTCTTGGTCCGTTACCTCCGTCGGAACCCCCTTCGCTCCGTCTTGCCAAGTGGCCATATCCGGATGTTTGTAGCCTGTACTTCGGCAAGTAACACACCCTGTCTGGAAACCCTGCCTCAATTTGGAAAAAGCAATGTGGCGTCCCGGAGGACCGCAAATATCTCAACTTCGTTCACTTTGAGATTGGGTTGAGGCTCGCAGGGTTCATATCGGCAGGGCGAGTGGAGGAGGGTCAACTAACAGACAAGGCTTGCTCACGTTCAAGGCTTCAAACCAGAAAGTCCCTGGTCGGAAGATTGTCTAGATTTTCAAAAGGATGTTACAGGGTTCCGAATGAGCAACCCTTCGCAGGGACACATTCCCAAGTGGGTAAACGCTGCGCAACATCCGGCTTCCGCGAGACGATAGGCACACAGGGGTAGGTGGAGACCGTGGGGCATTCGCGATGAATGTGAATTGTGATCTAAACAATCACAAACTGTCCTATTGAAAATAATCGATCACGTTCGGATGGTAGCATGATTCCACATCAACACTGCGGAAAGCCGCCACCGTCCAATCAAAGCATGGAGTTTTGTGAATAGAAGTCTCAGCCTGCAGAACAGATGTTGAATCTGCTTGACGACGCACATCCTCAGGCGCCCCCCCCTCTGGCCGTCACCCTCCTCTCCAGGAAGGTTCTCCCGCCATTGTTTTCCGCCAGTATCCCGACACACACCTCATGGAAGCATCCCGGTGGACGCTATGGTTACCCATCAGCCTGAGTACCCTACAATTTGCTCCAACGCAACAGCACCGCAGCGGCGATGACAGGTAAGACGGAGGCGAGTTCGCCGAGGCCGGCAAACTCCGGTGGGATGCGCGCGTTGACGAAAGCCCCTGAGCCGAGTAAGATGGCAAACAAGTTGTAGACGAAGCTCCAGCCGAAGTTGAATGCAATCCGATGGATGGCCTTTCTGCTCACCGTGATAGCGGTGAGGATACCGGTCAGGCTGGGTCGCATCAAGACAACATCAGCAGCAGATCTAGCCACGTCAGTGCCCGCGTTCATGTGGACGCCAATGGTAGCCTGGGCCAGTGCAACAGCATCGTTAGTTCCATCTCCGCAGAACATCACGACGGGCTTCTTCGGCTTCTTTCCCGATTTGGACACATTGGTGGAGGGTGTGGCTAAGAGATGCTGAATGTACTCCTGTTTGTCTGCGGGGTTGCATCGCGAGTGCACATTAGCCTCGGGTATGTTGAGTTGAGAAGCAACCGCCTGTACCGCTCCGTCATCGTCGCCTGAAAGGATGTGGACCGAGACGTTGGAGGCCTGCAGCTTGGACACGGTTGCGAAAGCCTCGGGCCGCACCGAGTCTTCTAGCGCAAACAATGCAGCCAACGTCCCATCGACCGTGAAGCAGAAGACGGTGTATCCTTGCGACAAGAAGGACTCGACAGCGGGATCGGACGATAGACCCAGCCATCGCGAATTGCCAGCGCGGAGATTGCGACCAGAGATGTTTCCCTCGACACCCTTACCCGTCAAAGTCTTGGAATCGGATACCGGCGCTGGCGATACACCATTCGCCTTTAGGTGGGCGGCAACCGCTGCGGATACGGGATGCTTGATGCTACCAACGAGGCCAAGAAGCATCGATTTCGTCGCTTCTGGATTGCCAGTAACGTACGATTCTTTAGACACGCTCAATTCCCCACGGGTCAGTGTCCCCGTCTTGTCGAAAACTACATGCGACGTCTTGTAAGCGACCTCGATGCTGTCGGCCGACTTGAAGATGACGCCTTTTTCCGCAGCGACTCCACTAGCGATGACGATCACCATAGGAACTGCAAGTCCAATAGCGCATGGACATGATACGATGAGGACGGTAATTGCGTATGTGACTGCCTGGATCGTTGCTTGAGAGCCAGACTGTTTGCGGACAGCGACTCCAACGGCAATCCATACGGCAAATGTAATCATCGTCAATGTGACTACGACTGGGACGAAGTATGACGCAACTCGGTCTGCTATATCCTGTATTTTAGGCTTGGACAGCTTGGCTTCGTCAACCATCCCGGCGATGTTGCTGATTGTGTTGTCCTCGGGCAGACGGGTCAGGCGTATGTTGAGGGTTCCAGAGCCATTGATCGAGCCTGCAATGACAGAAGAGCCTGCATATTTTTCGATCACTCTTGATTCGCCCGTGACCATAGACTCGTCTAGCTCAGACGAACCAGAAATGACTGTGCCGTCGGTTGGAATGCGAGACTCGGGAGCAACTCGGAAAGTATCTCCATACTGAAGCAGCCGAGAGTCAATTTCCTTTTCCTGGCCCGAGGTGTCGATGATTGTCGCTGTGGACACCTGCAGAGATCGGATGGAAATAGACTCAACGGCCTTCTGACGAGCCAGCGCACCAACATATCTGCCAACCATAATGAGAGTAACGAGAAGTGTGCTTGTCTCAAAGAACTCCCCAGTCGAGAGCGGCTTGTGAGAGACTAGATAGCCAAACGACACTACTGAGAAGATGTAGGCGGCGCTAGTGCTCAGCACGATGAGCAAGTCCATTTCAATCATTCTAGAGAAGATCAAGCTCTTGAGCGCTGTAGGATAGAATGGTCCAGCAATAGCAACCTGAACGATAGTTGCCAATGCCAAAGAAGCTGAACCATAAGCAATCTCATTATCCGGCAAAGGTGCCCAAGCCATCACGAGAACCGGAATAGTGAGGATGATGGAGAGCAAAGTCATCATCCCAACATGGCGAACATGCTTGCCGCCCGCTTCAAGTGTCGGGTCGGCTCGAGGGGGCGCAAGTTCCATGGGATTGCTCCAACCTTTCTCAACCAGGTCTCGAGCCCCAACAACCTCTGCATCAAACTCAACGTGGATAGTCTTGCTGTCAACAACACGTATGTCTGTGACGCCCGCCGGCCATGGCTGGCTGATCAAATCCTCTGGCCGGCCATGAGATAGGAGGTCGATGCTGGCGCCCTGGCTTGTGATCTTCTCGCACTTGAACTCCGTCGTCCGTTCGAGATGTTTGATGACATCCTCCACCGAGCCAACTCCGACGTCTAGATCGAACTCTGCACGCGCAAGAACCAGACTAGTCTTGAGATTCTTGATTGCGTCCACGGTGGCAAGGGTTCTCTTGAGTTTAGTCTCGCAACCCGTGCATGTCATGCCCGAGATACTGAGAACAACATGCTCATTTCCAGACACGCCCCTCTCAAGGTCGTTATCGTTGGTAATGTCTGCACCAGACTTGCAGAGAGGTTGGGAAGCGACAGGCGGATCCCCATCGTCACAACAGGAATCCGCACAAGAACCAACAATACTCGGGGCGTTGGTTACGGCGCAGCAATCATCAGCGCACCCTCCGCTTTTAAACTTTGGGCTTGCAGACCGACCTACCCTTTTAGTCTTGAGACCTCTGTTGGTTGCGCAGACCGGTTTGCTCGGCCCTGGTGCACAACAAGAGTCAACTGAACTGCGGGTGCGAAGCGAGCTGATTGATGCTCGTTTCTTTTCAACAGACAAACGATCACGGGGCGCGCAGCATGATTCTTGACCGAGAGCGAGGAGGGCGCGGCAGATGCAGCCCAAGGCTTCAAGCTTTGCCTGATAGGTCTCGCGAGTGGTGCGGGCGTGGCCGCGGCATGGCTTCCCGTCTTTTCCACCAGTGCAGCCTTCCGCTCCTGGTCGAGCTACGACCGTGTCAGTCGCGAATAGATTGAGGTGGCGGGCGTGTGACTCACTTTTTCTGTTGGAACGCATGCCGCCGGTACACTCGCGCAGAGCAAGACGATCAATGCAAGTCGAGTCGCAGCAAGGAGATGTCTTGCCTTCACAGCAGCTGGGAACCTTCTCTTCCTGAGACTTTGGGACTGGGGAGGAGCAGCATCCCTTCTTGCAATTCTCTTCAGCCTTGGCAACTGGGGCGCAGCAGTCGTCCTCGAGAGCAGTCAGAGTGCCGCTTGTCTGGATAGGCTTGGTCTTCTCGACTATCTCGCAGCATCCCTTGTTGCGGTTTCCTTCGGCGTTGACCTTTGGGTCACAGCTTTCGTCTGGCTTGCTTGGGTTGTCGCCAGCAACATCGACAATCTTACTTGCATCTTTGACGGAATCACCACAGCAACCCTTCTTACAATCATCTTTGAGTGTGACCTCATCAGCGGGGGCAACATTGGTGTTTTTGATGGTGTCGTTGCCGCAACATTTCTTCTTGCAATTGTCTTCAGTTGCCGTGTTGGAAGCGCAGCAAGAGTCGATAACTTTGGCACCCGCAGAGCTAACGCTTTTCCCATTATCGCTTTGTTCCATGTTGACCGTGCCACAGCAATCGTCCTGACAATTGTCTGCACTCTTCGATATGTCGGCCTTGCAGCCATCTTCATCAGCAGCGGTTGAAGAGCAACACTGATCCTGGCAGCTCTCATTGAGATCCGTGGGATTGACTTCTCGGCCCAAGGTCGGCTTGTCGACCTCAGAGCCGCAGCAGCCTTGGGTGCCGTCCCCATCTTTCAAATCTTCAATTTTGTCGGTACTGTCTTTGCCATCGCCATCTGCAATCCGGTCATCTGTAACGGTGAGACTGCTGTTTGTCCCAGGGAGGGCAGCTGGTCCGGGGGTCGACGCTGGGTCCTTAGGCGGACCACAGCAACCCGATCCGCAGGGCATATTGAGAATTCCCGCGTCAATGCACACGCGTCAAATGAGGATTTGATGACTGGTGTTCGACTGTCTTCTGATGGGGTTGAAGGCGAATAGCAGGTTCACAAAGTGGCCTCTCCGTCCGTCTGGAGTGTTTCCGGTGGACGGCGGGGATGACGACTCGGACGCGAAACCTTAAACAGCGGACTTGGGCCTCCACTAAAGCTTCGAAAAAGACGATTTGATTGGATAATACATGTGTCTCCGGTTCCGGAGTGGAGAAACAGGCCGCCTCCGAGATTACCAGCTATGTGATTGTCTCAATCCTGTTCCATGAGGATCCAATGCCGGGAAAACTCTCGTTGCAAAGAAGACTGAAAGAAAATCATGACTGGGGGTCTGGGAAAACACATTGAGAATGCCTTCCGCAGGACTTCCTGGCTCTGAGACTCAACTTCATCACACATGATCTCCCCTGTTGGAAAAGACAGGATGTCAATGCTTTTCAAAACACAATTGATTTTCTAATCTAGTGTTTATGATGTCTAGTTTCCTGCAACGCTGGGTTTTCAGATATGCCTATCGTCTACTTCATATTCCTTCGGTTGTCAGGTACTGATCTTTGCTCCAAGGCGCTACTGCCACTCCCGGCTTCTATCATGAGGTCTTAGAACAAGTTCGAGACTTAAAGAACTGAGGATAGATATCTCGGAGTTCCTCCAAACTTTGTATCTGATGCTGCGATGCTGCTCTCGAAGGCATGGGGAGCCCTTTCTCCAGAAAGTGAGCCGCTGTCCAGCCGGCCTTCTGGGCGCCGACGCAATTCCCATAAGAGTCATCTGTGCATATAGGTCAACGTGGACACGTTTCTTGGGACTCATTATTGATGGGAGCCATACCGACGAAGTAACAATTTTGAACTGACTCCACCCCAGCTTCCTGCATAGCCTTCAGGAACATATTCTTGTTCGGCTTGCAGATGAAGGGCACTTGCGAGTAATCGCAGTACGTTAACCCCTCGAAGAGATCCTCGACTCCAAGGATCCGGATAACTCTTTTAGCATGAGTCACGTACGCGTTGGTCAATAACCAGAGCCGGACTTTAGAGGTATCGATATCCTCAAGCAGCTTTCGGAGTTGCACATCTGGCTTCAAGATATCCTCGAGGGGTAGCGCATCATCAACCTGCGCGTTGTACTCTATGGGATCAATCTTGTGGTGTCGGACCAAGCCCTCGATCGAGTGTCCATAGTCCGTATGGTACTGGTGATGTAGCTTTACTGCCTCCTCTCGGGTGAGAGATAGGTGCTTCTCAAAGTAGTCATCGATCAAGTCGGAAACAAGGTCAAAGATCTTAGCATCTAGCCGAACGGTTAGCTGCGGGGTTAATTCCCACTCGCAAAAAGACACACCTCTCGAATACAAACAGTTGTCGATGTCGCTGGGTGGTGCACAAGTTAGCAAGGAGTTCATAGGTCCGGTATTCATCGTGTTCGACGGTGGCTCACAAGAAGAGGACCGGCTTTTGGGGTCGAGATCCCTTGCTCAGGTCTGCCTGCGAACCCATCTCGTGCGCTTCACGATCTCGTGGACAGTATGCGGTGAAGATCCCTGAGCGATCGGCAGGCCCGTCCAGGCCGTTCGAATTCGGCAAGGTTTTTGTTGAGATAGAGTTCATCCGGACCGCCTAACCATACATAGGCGCGGCTGACATCGGTGAAACACCGACGTCACCGTCGTTTACCCCACACCTTTCTGCGCAGAAGACCTCCGGGTGCGGAGAATAGCGGCCAGCCAGGTTTGCTGACCAGCAGCTCACTGCACCATGATATTTCCCTCGGCAACTTCGATATTTGTCTGAAGCAATGTCCTAATTAATGGCTGAAGTATCATGTGATGAGTTGGCGCTGGATCGTGGTGAAATCGTGTAAGTACGACGCGGCATCGGCGCCGCGTGGGAGGATGCACCTGGCTGGCCGCCACCATGCGGGTCGATTCATGAACTTCGGCATGGGCGACGACGGTATGTTAGTGTTCAGAGATATGAAAAGGGATTTTCAAGAATGACTGTCTCTGGCGATTATCTTGTCTCCTTTCTTCAAACAACACGATGCCTCGCTTGTAGCATTCCACACAGACTCGACGGTTCTCTTCAGTCCTGCATCATCGTCCGATGTCCGTATCGAACTAAGACACGGTGATCTAATCGCCACACCTTGTTCACTAGCTTATCTGCTGTCCCCGTGCCGTTCTCATTGCCAACGTCATCCGAGATAGACCTACCTTCATCGCGCATCTTGGGTGATGAGCGTTGGCCATGATCCTTTCGCAACGCCAACGAACATGACTTCAATAGATGCGCGGCCATCCGCAGATAGAGCACATGAAACTAGCAATGAAGGTGACTTTGAGAAGACGAAACAGACTCAAAATGAGGGCTCAAAGAAGCGGGAGGACCACAACCCGAAGACCGGAGGAAGCACGGATGGAAGCGACCTCGAAGCTGGCGTTGAGCAGGTGGAAGGCGTCCGAGACACGAAGAAGAAGAAGAAGTTCAGAATATCAAAGTTCTACAAGAAGTACAGGCTTCCGATACACATTGTCATATGGCTGGCATGGACCGGGTGAGTAGACGTCAATTGCATTACATGTCGTCGGAGGTGTTGAACTGACATCGAGGGCGACCAGATGGTGGATCGTCGGCGTCATCTTCCATCGGTCAGACAGCCTCGGATGGCTGAAGCCGTTCTTGGTGTACCTGGCCATCACAGTCCGCATCATCACACTATGGCTTCCTGCTGCCTCGGTGATGATCCCTCTGCGCTTCGTCTGGCGAAACACTATATTCAGGGCGTATGACATGACGCCGCAAAAGCTGCATAAACCAATCGCCGCCGCGATCACTGTGGCAGTCTTCATCGTCGGCGCGATGATTCCCGCAGAAGTCGGCGACAACACCCGTGCAAGTCGCGCGATCTCACTCTTTGGCCTCATCCTCCTGATTGCCCTTCTCACGGCCACATCCCGAGATTGGAGGAAGATTCCATGGCACACCGTCATCGGAGGCATGCTCACCCAGTTCCTCATCGCCGTGTTTGTCCTGAAGACGAGCGTGGGATATGATATCTTTGCCTTCATCTCAGAGATGGCGAGGACGCTCCTTGAGTTTGCAAAGGATGGCCTCCGGTTTCTCACGGACGACGAGGTCCCAACGAAAACATGGTTCCTCATCAGCGTTGTCCCGCCAATCATCTTTTTCATCTCTCTCGTGCAGCTGCTATATCATTGCGGGCTACTTCAATGGTTCATCGGAAAGTTTGCCATCTTCTTCTTCTGGACCCTCCGGGTTTCCGGCGCCGAAGCCGTAGTAGCCACCGCGACCCCGTTCGTGGGGCAAGGAGAATCGGCGATGCTCATCAAACCCTTCATCCCGCATCTGACCCTCGCCGAGATACACCAGGTGATGACGTGTGGGTTCGCGACGATAGCTGGATCCGTGCTAGTCGGATACATCAGTCTCGGCCTCAACGCGCAAGTCCTCGTTTCCTCGTGCATCATGTCGATACCTGCGAGCATAGCAGTGTCGAAGTTGCGATTCCCAGAGACCGAAGAGACCATCAGCTCGGGGAAGATCACAGTCCCAGAAGACGAAGACAAGGCTGCCAATGCCCTACATGCGTTCGCAAATGGGGCGTGGCTGGGAGTCAAAGTGGCTGGCATGATCGTCGCAACTCTTCTCTGCGTGATCTCGTTCGTGGCCCTCATCAACGGCCTCCTCGGCTGGTGGGGTAGGTACTTGAATATCAGCAACCCGCCGTTGACGCTCGAACTCATCCTCGGATACGTCTTCTACCCGGTGGCCTGGTGCCTTGGGGTGCCGAAAAAGGACCTTCTCGTCGTAGGAGAACTCATCGGGGTCAAGATCATAACGAACGAGTTTCTAGCCTTCAAGTCGCTCTCAAGCAACGCTGAGCCATACGTCTCGATGTCACCTCGGTCACGGCTCATTGCTACGTATGCATGCTGTGTAAGTACACACCTTTCAAGTTGATAACACATCAGTCTCACACCTCTTAGGGCTTTGGAAATGTTGGCGCCCTCGGCACGCAAATCGGCGTTCTCTCTCAGATCGCGCCCGGCCGGGCTGCAGATGTCTCCAGAGTAGCCGTCTCCGCGTTGTTTTCAGGTATCCTGTCGACTCTGACTTCCGCCAGCGTTGCTGGCATGCTGTACACGGGATAGCGCGGGAGATGGGGTCTTCGTCGTTGTACTTCCTAAACACCAGATACCCAAGGGCGAGCAATAATGGAACAAGAATATCTTCGCACGTAACTCGGAACTGCTGGATCAGAGTCTACCCTGGCAACCATGGCTAAGTCGGTGCTAGGCCAATTACAGCTCTGGTGATCTTCGTTTAGCATGACGTCTTTTCCTCCATCGTGTAGCATCACGCCTCGAGCACGACAGCAGCCTGCGACTGATGAGATTTCCATGGAGCCCGACACTGAGACGGGCATCACCAGCGATTACTGAACAGGTAACCAACGCAACCAATAGCCTGGACACTGATTGAGTAATTCCAGGCGATCGTCCCATTTACCCCGGTGTCAGTCGGCCCAAGACTGCTTGGGCACACGGCGATGGCGTGTACTTGTCCGGCCACGGCAATGAAGCTCACAGCCAGCATCCTAGTCCCGATGTATTACATCTAGACTTGTCCCTTCGTCGAAGTCTGCCTTGACCCCGGTTCTGTTATGGAGGCTGGAAACAGCAAAGCCTGAGTACAAGATATAAGAACAAATTCTCAGGCCAACAACACCATTCTCGCGATTGGGGTTCAAAGTGCAGCGTTCTGCATGTGAGTCAAGGTTCCTCCCAGCATCAGACAACTGGTCCTGCATAAAGATCGGCGGTGAGGCTCGCTGGCGACAGCAAGAAAGCCTCACACACCAGCGGCTCTTTCAGCTGAGCCGAGTGAGTCGCCGACTTGAAGCAGCCGCACGGGGGTTGCAGCCGAGACACCGGGC